TAAATAAAATTATTCTTTTCGTTGTACTTACAGTCGCCCGATTGTAAGTTGAATTTTGTTTGGCAAGAACTTTATTGAAACAAAAAACATCTTTCAAAATTGTAAAGTAGGCTCAACTTCTCTGCATTTGACCGAATCAAACACCTTAGCAACAGGAGCACGTAACGAAGTGCGCATGATCTTACTTGGCAAAACGGGCACAGGTGAAAATTGATTGACATTATTTTAAACTTTTTGACTTCTTGTGTATTCAAGGCCGAAGCTCATTTGGTAATATCATCGTTGGCAAGGAGACTTTTAAAGCTAAATGCAGCATTGATACGGTGACGAACATGTGTACTTCTGCTGGACGACAATTCGACGGCAAGAAGCTCTTCGTTGTCGATACACCCGGGTTTTTTCATACCTATTTAGAACAAAAAGTTCTACATGAGGAAATTGCTAAATCATATCTAATGGCAGCCTTACCAGGACCACATGCATTTTTATTCGTTCTTAATCCAACAACGAGAATTACTGAAGAAGAGCTTAAAATGCTCAATTCCGTTCGGGAAATATTCGGTACAGCATCTATTAATCATACAATCATTATCTTTACTCATAGCGATTCATTGGATGCCCACGGCATCACAATCCAAGAGCACTTGGCTCAATTCGAATCAAATCATCCGTTAAACAAGCTTCTTGATCAGTGTGGACATCGCTATTTAGCTGTAAATAATCGTGCAACAAATACAGAGAAGACTGCGACAGTAAGAGCTTTGCTTGATATAGTTGCGCAAATGGTTGCGAACAATAATGGTCAAGTGTACATAAACGCCAATTTTGAAGCTGCTGCCAAATTCAGTGGAAAATATACGAGCGAAAATCAAGATTATTCTTGATTATAAGCTCATTAATTCGATTTTTGCGAAAAAATATAGTTTCTGGACACTAATTAGATTCATCCTTTGAGGACCGAATTTTTTAATCGAAAAGTGGCTCTTTAATCATTTTATTTGATTTGTTTCAAAATCGTTTCATAAAAATCTTATGATAATCAAAAAACAAATTTTTTTCGTCTTTTAAAAAAAATGCTAATTTGAAAGTAAAACATTCGATATTGGATCTAACTTTTAGTTCTTTGAAGCTACAGTAAGCACATTGATAGATCCTTAAAACATTGTTGTATATATGATGTTTATTCCAATAAACTAAAATGGTGAGTGAAAAGTTTGAACCCCTCTCAGTAAATTGATGATACCTATAACAAACTTATATGAAGTTATTGATCAAATTATATCATTTTGTAGAGGAAGATTAGAGCTATCATCTGAAAAAAATAGTTCGAAATACATAAATTTATTACAATCTTATGGTCATTTTACTAATCTTGAGTGAAAATTTTTACGTAACATTTTTTGAAAAAACAAAATATGTTTCTAACATCTTAAGCAATATATTGTATTCTATACATATTTTTACATGATTCGAGAGAGTTCGACAAGCTCTAAAAGAATATGCATGTTTACAAAACTTTTGATCTTTTTTCCAATAAAAAAAGCTTGTTAGCGCAGCCCCTTTAGGGTTGA